CCGGGGGGGCGCGGCCGGTCCCCGCTCTGTGCGCTGCTAGTCGCCGGGACTCACCTCGGCTGCGCCTTGCCCGCGCTCCCGAGGCGCGGCGTGCCTGCGGGAGCCGCCTCTCCGTCCTCCCGCTGCCCTTTGTCTCCGCCGCTCTCGGCGGTCCCTGTGCTGCTCTGCATCCCCAAACGCCCGTCCGTCTCCTCGGCAGGGATCGCCGGCAGCGTGGCGATCTCCTCTAGGACTTGCTCGCCCATCTCCAGGAGCAGGACTCGGCCAAACACACGGACAGCCCGGTGCCGTGCTGCTCCTGGCGGCTGGTGGCAGCTGCCGGGGGCGAGCGCAACCACAGCATAAACACGCTGCTACTTCTGCTAGCACTGGCCTAGCTCTCAGCTCAGGGACTCTCCCAGCTGGAGGTAATATTTTAGGCTTAACAACTCTTCATAGTTCCCCCCCCGCAAATTGCCTATTTTTAGCTCCGGTAAGGATTTAACATTCAGTGTGCTGTGAATGTTCCAGAGTGGAACTATTCATTTCATGAAGAAATGGCTCTATTTTAAAAGCGGTGGGAAGTAGCAAGCCATGTTTACTGATGATTTTCTCACTTTACATCTGTGAATGCTGCATTAACAACTGCAAGATTCCTTGGAAAATTTAAACACCAACAACTGTCAAAACAAGTTTTGACCAGTTGTGTGGACAAATGGAGTCTTCAGTGTCTTAGGATGTTTGTGAAAACTAAAAAAGGGACCCCTCTTTCACAGCAGGACAGTTTGTGAAAAATCAGACCCGAGGGCTTGACTGCGTTATGAACACATCACAACTCTGGGTGGGGGAAGCTTATTCTTTGAATTGCCTGCATAGAGGACCTTGTTTTAAAGTTTTATATATGGCATGACATTTCACTGGAGTTCACATGAACAAATGACTTTCTCAAAAGGCATTTTTTTTCCCCTGAAATTAAATGTTTGGGTGTCATATACATATCATGAATTATGTGGTATAATTGGGTAGGTTTTCATCATGCAATTCCCTTTTTTATAGATATAATAGTGGAATCACCAAACGTGTTTTTCACCCAGAACACTTTTAGACACTTGTTTCTCATAAAACAAATTTGTATTGCAGTACCTCTTACTGGGCATGAGTATCTTTCTTCATTTTCATTCCTCTTCTGTTCACTTGGCCATTTAACACACTTCTGGCCAACATTAAAGGACATGGTAGAACTCTAATAATTAGTTTCCTTTGACTGCAGACACAAGGACAAAGAAAGAAAATACACTTGTGGAAAACACCACAAAGAGAAATCGGGAGTAGGCACAGAACATAAAATCTCTTAAAGACATCAACGCAGATCCTCAAAGCAGTTTTCCTCGTAGAAGCCTTTAGATAGACATCCCATTGAGCTGGTGGTCACATAAGAATCCATCTTGAACAGCTTGAGCAGGTTGAACGTTGGAAGCTGGAACAAGAAGGCTAAGTCCTGAAAATAGCTGCCAGCCTTCCTTCCACCGCTCCCAGGAGGATCTTTACCTGCCTCTGGCTCTGCTTGGACAGAGAGGGTGCTCTGAACCCGTTTCTTGCTTTGCTTCCAGAGTGCTGGCCTAGGTGGCATTTCAACTTCTGCCCTCAAAGATAAAAACTCCCACCAGTCCCAGGCTCTGGAAGGGGCCTTGCAGTTTCTCCTTACCGCTGTGCAGAGGGAGAGCAGCAGTTGGGGCCTGAAAAAAAGGCTTCTCCCAAGGCCCTGAGCAGCTAAAAGGCTGAGGACAGAAGACAACCTTTTTGTGAGCTGCGTAAACATCTGACTCATGGGTTACGCTCCAGAAACCCCCAACAAGATAACAATTTTAGAGGAACCCTTTAATACAGTTCTTCTAACGCAGCAGTTGTAAATTTACACGTGGGGTAAAATAAGCTGTAAAAACTACTTAGATAATTTTGTTTTGTAATTTAACCACTATGCTTTAAACTGATTAACTTCATTTTGTCTTCTGGCTAGTAATCCTTTTTTTCAATGTTGGCATATACAGAACTAGTTGCAATCTCTACAGTATTTATAAAGTAAAAAAGCTATTTGTTTTCTTAAAAAAGCATCTGCTGTTTTTTGACAGTATGTCTGGAAAAAAAAAACCCAACCTTTTAAAAATGGTAACTAAAGAGTTGGACAAGCCATAATATATCTAGCTTTTGTCCATGGCACTCAAGCGTAAAGCCAAAGCTCATAATCTCCGAGGTAATTCAGTCTGAGAGGAGGATAATTCTACTTGTATATAAGCCCAGGGGCCCAGTGGTTAACCATCCCCAATCCTTTCTTGGCATTCATTTTTCAAATCAAAATAGTCAAGAAGGCTATTAACTTACATATTTTTTTAGCATCATAAAGTTATACGCCCTAAGGTTAAAATAACAGATTGGGGTTGGAACAGCACAAAGACACAAGTCTGAGTTTGGAAGAGGGAAGAATGCGTCGGGGTAGGAATGTGCAGGGAGCAGACTGGAAGGAGAGGATTTAATTTCATTACTGGAAATCTGATGATTCCACATATATTTGTGTTTTTCAGTGTTCTGAAACCAGCTGAACCTGCAAGAGACCTAAGAAGACCAGTTAAGATAGTGGATGAACTAATTAAATCATTTGTCTTTTTGTTATTGCTGATAATTCCACTATATCAGCAAAAGTATCCTCCTCATTCTGCACTAAGAGGTTGCCTGAGTGAAATACCATGTAGAATACAGATTTGCAAGCAAGCCATCCATTCTCTGGGGAGAAGAAACTGTAGATGCATATTAGGGCATTTTTTCTATTTAGCTTTGATTTTGAGATCAAGAGCTTTTTAAAGGAGGAATGGAATTAAATTAAAGTGTCATATGTCTCCAACTCTGTATCATAAAAGCTGCATTTATTAAAAGAGACTTTCTTGTTGCTAGCTCATCAACCACTGGATTTGTTAATACTAACACAAGAAATACAGAATTATAGGACAGGGAATGGCAAGGGAAGTTTCACCTTCCCAGTGCTGTACATTTAAAAAAGTATCAGCAAAACAGTTGTTCTCTCGATATAACAAAGGTACTGATGCAGCACAGAAGAAGCAGTGACATAAAGAGTTGACGCTGAATTGTTTTAACATTTGCCAGGAGCAAGACCAAAGAAGCTCCCAGCCTTTTCAGGAGAATGTCAGGCAAAACTGAAATGTCAGTGCTCAGGCGTCCCTCCTGGTACCGGCCAGGGCTGCAGACTGTAGCTGAGTTTCTAATTCAGACTGTAGGTGAGAGAAACATTCTAATGTTTGTCAGAATGTGGCACTGCCAGCAAAAAGAAGACGCCCCTATCCTCTCCTCCCCCAGAGGTGTATCCCTGCCGCTGCTCTCGCGGTGTAACAGCCCTGGGCGGGATAACCGGCCGAGGCTAAGCCCTGGGGACACCGAGCCCCGCACCGGGTAGCAGGAGCGTTGCGCGGGCAGCCCTTCGGCAGGCGCCCCGGCTACAGCGGCTCCTCTGGGGACGGGCGGCCCCTCTGGAGGACACGACACCACAGCACAGCACAGCACAGCACAGCCCCCGCGACAAAGGCCTCACCGGCGCCGCTAACCCCGCCAGAGACACCTG